GCAATACATAGGTATGCTGTTTCCGGCGTCGGCGGCGGCGGCGTCAACAATGTAATAGTTTGTGATTAGGTCTAGTTCATGGTGAACCACTAGTGGTAGGTCAATGATATTTGGTATGCAGTTGTATTAGCATTGGCACATCTCATTACCATAGAGATTATTTGGCTCCGCCCCCTCAGTCAAGGTCTATTGACTTTGAAACTTTTCATAGTTTACATGTATTAGTTTGCGATTAGGTCAATATATGGGGAACCACTAGTGGTAGGTCAATAATATTTGGTATGCAGTTGTTTAAGCATTGGCATATCTCATTTCCATGGAGAATATTTGGCTCCACCCCCTTAGTCATGGTCTATAGACTTTGAAAATGTTGCTAAGTTAACATGTATTAGTTTGTGATTAGGTCAGTTCAAGGGGAACTATTAGTGGTAGGCCAATGTTAATTGATGTTCAGTTGTATAAGCATTAGCACATCTCATTTCCATGGAGAATATTTGGCCCCGCCCCTCAGTCATGGTCCATTTACTTTGAAACTTTTGCTTAGTTTACATGTATTAGTTTGTGATTAGATCAGTTTATGATGAACTGCTAATGATAAGTCAATGATATTTGGTATGCAAATTTATTGGCATTTGCAAGTATTGTTTCCATGGAGATTACATAGCCCCACCCCTGATCATGGTACATTGACTTTGAAACTTTTACACAGTTTACAAGTTAACGTTTGTGTTTAGGTTTGTTTAAAGGGAACGACTTATAATAAGTCAATGGTATTTGGTATGCAGTTGTATTAGCATTGGAACATCTCATTCCATTAGCCATGTACCTTCAGTCATGGTTCATCGACTTTGGATATTTGCATAACTTACATGTTAAAGTGTTGCTATTTTAATTTCAACATTTGCATTATCAAAATTACAAAAAGGCGAGACATATCTCTGTGATAACAGTTTATTAACATTGAGGATTAGTTTTATAAAATTTGGATGAGGAAAATTTAAGTAAGATTGTGAAAACAAAAATGGGACAGACGGAAGGACGGTCAAAGGGTAACACTTAATGCCCCCTTCGCCTATCGGCTGGGCATAAAAAATCACTAACCAAATAAGAAGCATACAGGTATACCTGTAAAGCTACTGTAGCTTCTTCCACTTCCTCTTTTCTGCCAAGCACCATCAAAAGAAACTGTTATTGAAGGTCCATTTGAATGATCATCTTCATCTCTAAAAATATATGCTTCGTGTTAATGGGTCGTTTAGGTCTATTTAATCTTGCAAGCTAGCAATCAGATTAACTTTGTTTTCAATATATCTATAAATTATCATCCATTATATATATTATTGACTGTTAGGAGATGCCTGAATTTCGTTTGATTTTTTCATAATGCTGAACCCATTGACACTTCGAGATTTAATTTTAAATGTTCACCATTTGCAATGATTTATTTTTTCAGAAAGACATATTCTAAAATTTGTTAATTACTTACTAGATACATCACGATCCCAAGTTATTGGTAGGGTTAGCGCCTTCAAACTAGTTTAACCCCGCCACATGTTGTATGTGCATGTCTTAAGTAAGGAGCCTGTAATTCAGTGGTTGTCGTTTGTTGCTGTATATCATATATGTTTTTCGTCTATTATTTTGTACATAGATCAGACCGTTTGTTTTTCTCGTTTGAATTGTTTTACAGTATTTCGGGACCTTTTAAGCTGACTATGCGATATGGGTTTTGCTCATTATCGAAGGCCGTACGGTTTAATAGTTGTTAGTTTCTAGGTAATTATGTCTCTCGTGGATAGTTGTCTTATTGCATGTCAATCATACCACATCTTCTTATTTTTTATAGATATAAAAATTTTGACTTACCTGCTTAAATCTATTCCTTCTTGTAGAGCTTTCTGACAACATATTTCAGCACACTTTTCTATGGTTTTGCCGATTTCTCTTTCTCTTATCTTTAAATTCTTAACTGCTATTGGGGGATGTTAATGCCAGCAAGGAAATTGACTGTCTGGTGTGGGCCCATTCCTGCATCTAAATAGGCTAAACAAAGATTTTTTCTCTCATAAATATTATGTAATAAAATTTAAGTTTATTGGAAAAGCATTTTAATACAATGTTCGTACTTAAGAAATACGTATCGTAAAAATAAAACCTCTAATTATGAATTCTAATTGCAACATTTGTATGCAGTTTTTACTGAAATCGCAATAAATAGTGACATGATTTTGCCCATTTCAAAAAAAAATTAATCAATGCACGCACAAATCTCTAAATTTTCAGTATACTATACATGCTATATGAACTTTGCTAATCATTTTTTATTTCATTTTGAAGCGGCGGTAAAGGATAATTGTCGTGTAGCGGAATTGTAATTTTTCCTTCGCGTATTTTCATGCTTGAAACTCATTATTCACAATATTATTTTCAAATTGACTAAAAAGAAACGTGTAACCTTTATTTATAATTTTTCGTTCATTTTAAAAGACCACTTTACTTTCCGTTTATCCGTGCAGAAGGTCCAATCCCCACTTCGATTCGCATTAATTTTTGTTCTTCATTTTCTCTTGCTTGTACCCTTCTGAAGTAATTTCCAACATTACATTTCGCAAATTTTATGTCAAGCAACAATTTAAATTTCTTGTTCAATATCTTTATTCAATTTGTTTTTTTTTTTTTAATCCTTTATTTTTCACTCTCGGTACTAGCACTTTCCAGTTCTATTTATAGACCATATTGCGGACGTGAAAGAAAGCACTGTAAACAACGTTTTTTTGTTTGTATGAACATCCAAATGTTTATATTTATGTGAGAAAATGAATATCTAACACGAAGATCAAATCAAGAATATCATTATGAAGCATATAAAAGTGTATTTCCTCTTTTTTGTCGAGAGTTGAATACCTCTTAGTGTTGACAGTTGTTTTGAGAAAGGAATTTATTTCTTTGTATGCAACTGTAACTTGTAAGTGTAAGTCTTCGTCTATAGTATAGTATAGGCTATTTGCTATGGAATTTCAAAAAATAAAAGCCAACATCATAGTGTGAGCTTTAATTTGTTATTGTGTGTATATGCAAGTGTTTGTAATATTCTTACCCATACTACATTTTGTATTCACGTCCCATATCAACATTCCCTTTTTTGAAGTCTCTGATCTGTGCCGTTTATATGTGTTTATTAAATTTGTGTAGGGACAGCTGTCACAAGGTATATACAAAATACTTAAGAGACCGTATTTTTGTTCTTTTAAACAGTTGTGTAGAAACAATGGTCCGCAACAGTTCTTGCAAGCTTTCGGTTGGTCAGCTAGTAAACCCTATGGTAAACCCAACTCAACCACTCTTCGACCATCACGCCATGCCAAATAACTTTCATTTTCGTGGGAGGGAAGTAATGTTTCACTCGGACTAGACATTTCATTTACAATAACTGCACTTTTTGTTATATTTTGATGAGAAGCTTTCAATACTTTACCACCGAATTGTCCATTTTTCCGACGAAGCGGAGTATCTTCCGACATCTTGAAAATATTTTTCTGGTGTAAGGGAGATAACTCGCATAACAACGAACGCAAATTTTCCCGTTTTCCGCTAGAGGCGTTCATATACGTACCTCTCACCTTAAAGAGAAAAGCTACAAACGATATAACTAGGCCTATGAATTTAGTATTTACCTGTAATTATCTGATAAAATTGAGAATGGAAATGGGGAATGTGTCTAAGAGACAACAACCCGACCATAGAGCAGACAACAGCCGAAGGCCACCAATGGGTCTTCAATGCAGCGAGAAACTCCCGCACCCGGAGGCGTCCTTCAGCTGGCATTCATTTTACAGTTTACCTGTAAAATGAATGCGCGCGCGCAAATGTAATCAAAAGCTGCGCACAAACGTAATGATTTTTCCGCGCAAATGTAATGCATTGACAAACGATTTCTTGGTACTTTACAATAAGGACAATAACTGCAATATGAAGTCGTCTGAAAGTTTTGATGTCGATAGACAGGTGGATCTCAACATTCTTAACATGTTTGCTCTGTCTGATTTTCTGTATCTATAGCGATTTTTAAGACGCTAAGTGATGACAAAACTTCACTTGGCCTTTGGGCCAGGTGAGCAAAAAGTGTTATATTTTCCTAGCCCCGTGTCAAACCCACAAAGGTAAGACACAAGGAAAAGTGAAAAAAATATTGTTTACCAAAATAAACATTCAAGGTATAAGAGATTTTGCAGCAAAATGACTCATAATGAATTAAAATTAAAAAAAATTAAAACGAGGCTATTTTATGCAGTTTTGCATGAAAAACAAGAAGTTTAAAGCTCTAAATTAGTTGGATATTGATATCCTAAGGGCTAATATGTTGTGAACATCTGAAGTTTACAATAATTGTACTTATATCACTCTTATCAGTTGGTGACCAACCTGTGTATACAATAATTGTAATTAAATCACATATTACTCTTCTCAGTTAGTTACCCCACCTGTGTTTACAATAATTGTAATTAAATCACATATCACTCTTCTCAGTTGGTGATCACCCAGTGTTAACAATAATTGTAATTATATCACATATCATTATTATCAGTTGGTGATCACCCTGTGTTTACAATAATTGTAATTATATCACATATCACTCTTATCAGTTGATGATCATCCTGTGTTTTATACCACATATCACTCTATTCATCAGGTCTTTATACTATGGTTTCTCATGTGATTATTTAGTGAAACAGCTGAACGAACCGTATCTTCACATTTACTACACGTAAAACGATTGTCACCTGTATGTATTCTCCTATGATTATGTAATGATCTATTAGAGCAAAATATTTTTGTCACACATATCACGTTACTTGGTTTTCACCAGTAAGCGTTTTCAAGTGCTTTTAAATGCGTCATGTTGAAAGAAGGATTTATTTCAGACACCGCAATTATACGGTTTTATGCCAACATGTTGACTCTTCATATGTGACCGCAGGTTGGTATGTGTACATGTATTAAATCATGTTGTACACACAATACATGTATATAAACGTGTTTCACCAGTGTGTGTTCTCTTGTGTGTATCTAAATCACCAAATAATTTACCACATACGTTACAATCATGGAGTTGGTCACCAGTATGTATTTTTATGTGCCCATATAGTTTCACATATGTATGATTTCTCACCTTTGTGTGTTTGCATGTGATTCTGAAGGTTACGTTTAGTGGCAAAACGTTTCTTGCATACATTACACTCGAACAGTTTTTCATTCGTATGCGTTTCTGTGTGTCTTTTTAAGTCCCCACTTTGAGAGAATTCTCTTCCACATAAATTGCATTTATATGGTTTTTCACCAGTATGTATTCTCATATGCTTCTTCAAGTTGTCCTTTTGTCGAACTTTTATTCCACATATGCTGCATGTGTGAGGCTTTTCATCAGAATGGGTTCTCAAATGTACCTTTAAGTTTCCATTGTGGCTGAAATTTTTTCCACATAAATTACATGCATAAGGTTTGTCACCTATATGTATAGCCACGTGTGAATTGAGGTGATCTTTACGCCTGAATGATTTTTCACATAGATCACATTTGAACGGTTTTTTCTCAGAATGAATTGCCCTATGTAACTTTAGGTCCCCAGCTGTTGAACACCTTTTCCGACAAATCTCGCAACGAAAATGTTTTTCACCAGTATGTGTTTTCCTATGTCTATTCAATACACTTGTTCTATTAAAACCTTTACCACAAATTTCACATTCATATGACGTGTCACCTGTATGAATTTTTCTGTGTATCAACAAGTCACCACTCCGTACAAATCCTTTCTCACATACATCACATTTGTAACGATGATCTGTATGCTTTGACATATGTTTGAACAACTTGTTTTGCCTAGAAAATCCTTGACTACAAATTTCACATTTATAATGTTTTTCGCCTGTATGTATTCTTTCATGTGTCTGTAAATTACCAAGACGACGGAACATTTTACTGCAAAAATTGCAATGAAAGGGTCTTTCGTCAGAATGAATTATCATGTGACCCAATAAAACACTTTTATAAGGAAATCCTCTACCACATACATTGCATTTATGAGCCTTTTCACCGGTATGCATTTTTATATGATTCTTCAAGTTACCGGTCTGAGAAAAAATTTTGCCACAAGTTTCACATTTATAAGGTCTGACCTTAGTGTATTTTTGAATGATTGTCTTAGAAAAATCGTTTTCTAATAAAAGCTCATTACATGTATTGGTTTGAATAGGTTCTTCTTCCGAATCGAATTTTAAAGCCTCGCCATTTTCAACAACATCGATATAACATGTTTTACCATTAACCATATCGGATTTGTCGTGCTTGTAAGGATCTCTATTTCTTTCAGTATCAAAACTGTTAGGTTTTCCATCCATAACTAGTTTGATTTCATCCACTTCTGGTACAGGTATTTCGATCTTCTTGTGTTGATTAAGACCTCTTTTTAACAACAAAAGTACTGTGCTTTAGAGTTTATAGACCTAAATTTAAAAAAAGTAATGCTGTTTATTTCGATTTTAGATTTTTAATCAATGGTTATAATTGTCGTAAATAAATGGATCATTTTGTAAACGTTAAGAGCATCTACAGTAACTGTTTCAAAAATCATATGTACCCATTTCAAGTTCTTACACTTCCTTATTCATTTGTACTCGTTATGAGCGCCTACATTTTGTTAATATATCTATCTACATTACATGCGACTGTAAGCATAAAATGGTTTATGTATTTATATTATAATGAAATCATATTAGTTTTGAAAGGTAGTCAATCTATGCCACGTGTTTCTATCATAATACATAACCAAAACAAAATATCATTACCGGATTGAGTGTAATTAAACCAATCTTTCTCCGCTCGATACAATAACGTTTACTTATTAAAAAAGCGTGGCTTGCCGAGCCTTATAAATACTTAAATTTTATTTACTACAGTAGAGGGTGCAGAAATATAGTATTGCACGACATTCGGTGGTTGACTCGGTTTCCCTAATGATTTTTATTGAAATGTTGGCAAATTACCGTTATCTTTCTTTTTCAATGATCTCAAAAAACGTTCTTTCGGTTTGACGTCAACAGACATGGTCGCCTTTTTCATGACGTTGCAATAGACAATTAAAAAAAAGCAAGAACATTTGATGCATAATTGAATGTTAACCAATGAAAATTTGAGATCAAACAAACCACACGTTGATCATAAATAATGAACCGGTCGGGGAAAGTATAAATTTATCAGTTAAGAACAAGAAATGATTGTAACAGGACCCCTGGGGTGTAACCCTGAATATCATTCAAATCATCTTGGCATGACAAACCAAAATATATATGGTTTAGGGGTGGGGATCTCGACCATTTACAAGATATTCAATCATTGGGGTAGGGGGAACCCCTGGAGACTGACCCTGTATATCATTCAAATCTTCGTGAAATGACGAACAGGAACATATTTGGTGTAGGGGTGGGGATCTTGACCATTTACAAGATATTTGAACAAATTGAAATGACAGGGGGTGGGGATGATCACTGGGGTGTAACCATGTATATCATTCAAATCATCTTGGCATGACAAACCAGAATATATATGGTTTAGTGGTGGGGATCTTGACCACTTACAAGATATTGGAACTTTCTCAAATGGCAGGAGGTGGGGGTGACCCCTGGGGTGTAACCTTGATTATCATTCAAATCATCTTGGCATGACAAACCAAAATATATATGATTTAGGGGTGGGGATCTCGACCATTTACAAGATATTAAATCAATGCGGTAGGGGGAACTCCTGGGGAGTGACCCTATATATCAAATCTTTGTGACATGACGAACAGGAATATATATGGTTTAGGGGTGGGGATCATTTACAAGATATTATAACATTGGGGTCGGGCGGAACACCTGGGGACTTCCCCTATATATCATTTAAATCATCTTGGCATGACAAACCAGAATATACATGATTTAGGGGTGTGGATCTTGACCACTTACAAGATATTAGAACTTTCTCAAATGGGAGGGGGTGAGGGTGACCCCTGGGGTCTAACCCTGTATATCATTGAAATCATTTTGGCATGACAAACCAGAATATATATGGTTTAGTGGTTGGGATCTTGACCACTTAAAAGATATTAGAACTTTCTCAAATGGCAGGGGTGAAGGCCCGACCCTTGGGGACTAACCCTTTAATTCATTTAATGTGCTTTATCATGACAAACCAGAATATATATGGTTTAGGGGTGGGGATCTTGACCACTTAAAAGATATTAGAACTTTCTCAAATGGCAGGGGTGAAGTCTAACCCCTGGGGACTAACCTTTTATTTCATTTAATGTGCTTTATCATTAAGAACATTTTCAATTATAAAGATTGTGTCTATCACAAACTGTTTTCAAGTTATAATCATGTGAAAAAATCCCATAGGGTTCTATAGTAAACCTCTCTTTCCTTTTTGACCCTCAAAGTACCCCTTTATAAACCCCTTTGCACAAACAAAAACCCGGATTGCAGAAGAAGAAGAGAAGCAGAAGAAGATGTACTTCGTTTGTGAGACTATCTGGAATTATAAAAAAAACAAGTTGAATTGTGTTAGCTTTTACTGCCTAAACAACCCCGGCTAAAAACCTTCCGTAATCAAGTTGTTAATATAAAGTGATGGATGTAAATAAAGCACTAAATGTTAAACATGCTCACACCAAGATCACAGATTACTTCCAAATTCCAGAAAATCTTGACTTGTAGTTCCTCAGAAAAATGCGACGAAAATTTCATACATGGCCATTATGTGTTAGAATAAATAACTATTCGGTAAACAGGAAGTGGATGAGTAATGAACCTGAAAATGCATCACACAGTAACGCATGGTCCCATTCAGCGTCAAATACAAGATTTGCGGTTTCTGAAATGAACGAGTTACAAAATTTTTTTTATGGCCATTATGTGTTAGAATATATAAGTATTTGGTACACAGGAAGTGGATGAGTATTGAACCTGAAAATGCATTGATCACACAGTAACGCATGGCCCCATTCAGCGTCAAATATAATATCAGAAAGCTCTGATTTGCGGATCCTGAGATAAACGATTAAGTTACAAAATTTTATTCATGGTGTTTTCGTGTAAGAATAAATAAATATTTGGTAAACCGGAAGTGGATGAGAAATGAATCTGAAAATCCACCATTCAGTATAGCATCCTCACGTAAAATCTGATATCAAATTTCTGGAAACTCTGAATAAAAGTTCCTGAGAAAATGGCGGCCAAAGTTTAAGGACGGACGGAGGGACAAACGGATGGACCCCTCCTCACCATATACTACCCACTTAAGACAGCGGGGAGTATAATAAGTGCTCTTACAGACGACATCATCAACTAACATTGATGTTCTGGACATATTTTTTCCTAAAACAGAGATAAATTCATATGCATAAACACTTGCCGATTTGTGGCTCATGGGAAAGTTCTCTTGAATAGAAAAGAATTCCTTTAAAAATATGATTGCCATTAACTAAGAAAAGGTAAGTTTATTCACAAGATTTTTAATTTTTTTTTTTTTTTAATTTATAGGCTTTCTTTTTGATCTTCATTTAAAGTTTCGTTTAATTCATGCAAAATCGATTTTGTAACACATCATAAAATTAAGTTTTGTTGAGTATAGATGAGGGTCTGGATGGGGTCCTTCAATTCTGTATTCATTTTATTTTTCTGCCATTTTTCTCTATTCTTTATTGTTTTGGCATATTATTCTCTCAGACTTTTCTTTATATTTTAGCACCCAATTATTCTGTTTTCTTTAATTTTTACACTATTTTTCACTATTCTTTATTTTTTTGCCCTTTGTTCTGTACGTTTTGTCCATTACTCTCTATTCTGTAAACGCCATGATGCAGACCCTCATAGATTAATTTTTTGTTCTCCCTTTCAGAGAAATGTTAAAGAAATACTTGCCGAACAGATTGAATATTGGATGATGATGGTGTTAATTGATTGATGTTTAGCGTCCAGTGGCAGATGTTTCATGCATATAAGGACAATATTTTTACCAGATTGTTACCCTGAGCTGGATTTTCTTACCTGATATAGATCACAAGTTAACAGTCCACAGTTGAACATGTATATTTCTAATTTTTACCACTATTCTTCATCATAGAAATATTCAATGTTGCTATATATGCATGCCATAGTTATTTGTTTTCTTTCGCGTGATAACAAACAATAAAAGAAAAGAATTGTTTATGATTACATTAATTTAGCATAAAATGAAATATATAAAAGTAAATATTTACCTGTTGATTTAGCTATAAATTGTTTTACTTTTCTTGTACATGTATCTGACGATGTAGCATGCTTCTTTGGAAAAACAATGGGACATAATTCAAATTATATTACTATGGTACGCGCAATTGACAAAGGGAGTGGTGAATGATAAACTCATCATACGAAACGTCTTCAAGACAAGTCCTTCTATTCAGATCTACCAATAATCATGATCATAATATCTTCTTTAAATTTTATTTTCAGTTTAGGCTAAGTCAAAATGTAAGTAAAAGCTTTGAAATTAGCCTATAAAAAATGGGGTCACAGACCTCGTTTTCAATTCAAAATGCCATCTTTTTCATGGAATTTGGAAATCGGGACTTGTAGTTATTAGCAGTGTAGAATTTTATAAAAAGTCCGTATCACATAAAAATTGTTTATTATATTTTGTTGTCAAATTAATGGAATTTTACGCGACTGTCATACAAGTTAGAGGTTTGGCTAGCTATAAAACCAGGTTTAATTCACCATTTTCTACATCAGAAATATGACAGTTGTTATCCAATCGTTTGATGTGTGTGGGCTTTTGATTTTGCCATTTGACTAGGGATCTCGACTTTCCGTTTTGAATTTTCCTCGGAATTCGGTATTTTTGTTATTTTACTTTTTATTTTGTTTACCTTGTTAGAAATTGTAGTATTGATATTGTCATCTTCTTATGGACAAATGATAACGATAAGTTGCTATAATAATTTTCCCGCCCTTTTTATGGTGAAATATCTATAAAAAAAAATCAAATTTAAAAAAAAATGACCTATGTTTGCTTGATGAAAATTGCATAGAATGCATTGTTTGTTATTAAACAAAATAAGGTAATAAAAACATAGGGTCACCGGCCGTACTGGAAAACGAGATAATTTTTTAAATAGACGTTAAACATTTGGATTGGTGGGAATACATTGCGCCAATTCTGAAAACAACATCAAAAGACGTTAGAC